AATTTAGCTGGTTGAAACAGTTGTGGGCCCGTTCGCCGATCGCACAGTATGTCGGGTAACAAAAATAAGCCCGGCGAGGGTAGCCAGCTGCCTGCAGTCGACAAACAAACTAGCTAGCTCCCGTGTTCCCCTCGAGAGGTTTTGTCAAGATCGCATTGATTTGATCACACATTTCCATTCGATGTTGATTGGTCGATCAAAACAATGCGGTCTTGACAAAACCTCTCGAGGGGACCAGGGGAGCTAACTGGTTTGTTTGTCGACTGCAGGCCGCTGGCTACCCTCGCCGGGCTTATTTTTGTTACCCAACATACTGTGCGATCGGCGAACGGGCCCACAAATGTTTCAACCAGCCAAATTCGAAATTGGAAAGCCGATCGATCTGGAGATAAAAGCATCGCTAGTGAAAGACCTGTGGAAGGAATTGGGAATCGAGTGAATGGAAATGGAACTGCAATATCTCTGCTTTGATTTTCTGGAGGAATCGAGACTGGTGGTAATTTTTTGGCGGAATTATTCGCTTCGGGCGACAAGGCGATAAGGTAAGCCCATTTTATTTCAAAACAAGACATTTTTTTTCTCTCTTTTAAGGCAAACCGATAACATCCCATACAAACCTTTATAAATATAAAACGTTGCGCAACACGGTAAGAGTCACGTCCGCTTTTCTAGTAGTGAGCTTGGGCTGCCTGTGAATAAATATGCTATTATCTGACTATTACCAAATATTGATATTAACATTTACCAGTCAAATAGTTATTTACAGATCTCGCGCCTACAAAACCGTAATACTTTCTTTTGCGAAGGAAGAAAAACAAAATTGAGACACGAACGTCCACTAAATTAAATCGGCCACAAATATTCCCCGTAATCCTTTTTGCTGTGTGTGACAGGACGGAAATCACGCTCACTGTAGGTATTTTCCGTTATCCCTCATACGTGAATCCTTAATTAGAAAACTTTTCTAAGGGGGTTAGGTGGAAAATGAGGAGTGAGGAAAGTGCGGAGTGTGGAAAACGAGGAGTATGGAAAATGACGGGTGTGGAAAATAAGGAGTGTGGAAAACGAGGAGTGTGGAAAACGCGGAGTGTGGAAAACGTGGAGTGTGGAAAAATTTATAATTTTATAAGAGAACTAGTGGGCAGCACACAGCAACTTGTCTTGAAGTGTTGAGTTTATTAATTGACCGGTTTCGACTTCATCGGGATAAAACTACAAAATACATTATATTATTTTGTTTACCTTTTTGCGTTCTTTTAAGCTTGAAAAAGTAATGTACGGTTTAGTAGTGAAAACGCAATGATGCATCGCCTTAAAGGAAATGGAGTGCTTGTTATTGTTGTTTATATCGTTAAAACCTACTCCTTACCCACACTCCGCATTTTCCACACTCCTCATTTTACACACTCCTCATTTTACACACTCCTCATTTTACACACTCCTCATTTTCCACACTCCTCATTTTCCGCACTCCGCACTCCGCACTCCACACTCCTCACTTTCCACACTCCTCAATTTCCACGTCAGTGTTTAATTTTGCCTTTTTTCATATCAAATGGGCTGCATCAAAAAATCATTCTCGATCACTCCTGTCTGAAACCGGTCGTAAACTCACATGCATAGTGTTTTAATTCAATTTTGATTAATTGTTAAAACAATCATTGCGGAAGTCCCTAAGCTAATGAACTAACAACGTTGTTCTTCAAGTAAGGCCTTAATCGCGATGCGATGTCATTCCTTCCGATAATTTTCAAGTTCTTGATAATATGATGAAGGGGTAAATCTGGGTATTTAGCCCTTAAATGGGCCATTAACGCATAGGAGGGACTACCGTTGCGTTGGAACGCATTTTTCAAAGATTTCGAAATTGTGGATGGAATGTTGTACCTGAAAGCTAGCCTTTCAAAGTCCCATCGGTCTCTTTGCATGGCATCAAGCTCATTGCACATCCAGTCGAACACGTCCTGATGATTTTCTTCCAGCTCTTCGAGGTTCACATCGTCTAGGAGATATTTATGTATTGATTAACTAATTTTCTCAAACCAGAACAATCCAATTTTCAACAATAGCATTTCCCATAAAAGAATACTCTTGCAAATTTTATGAGAGCAATGGGGATCTATGTCATGTTTTTACAAAACCACCTCTCAACAATATGGCGATAAAATTGATTATCTTCTAAACGCACCTATTGACAAATGAGAGCGGGAGGAATATTTGAGATATTTCATAAAACGAATTTCAATGATCGGTTACTGCCGCTGAACTTACCTGGGTCAACTGTGTATTCAACATCTGCTGGGGGGCTAGACCGATTAGGCTGTGACCATGCTGAGTCTTGGGATTTTGGTAATGGAGGCCCACTTTTACCGGACGATTCGCCGCAGTTGTGAAGAGGTGTCGTTGATCCACTTGCTGGAGTAAAAACGGGATTCAGAGGAAGTGATATAGATCCATTTGATTGTGAAGCTGGTCGGTTGACCTCACACCGTACTTCGATTTGTGGAGAACTATTTTCAATGTTCGTCGATTCCAGCTCTCCGGAAGGCTTCTGTGTATCTCTTGGTGTGCCGCATTTCCTAATAACGATCTGAACGAAAGTTCTCAAAGAAACTACAGTAACTACAACTGCTGCAAGCGAAATTATCACGACTTTTGCCATGTCTGTCGGAACGTCCTTATCAACGACCCGAGTTGGTATTATAGACGACCTAGTTTCCTTCATGACAACTAAATTTGTTGGTTGATCTTTTAACGCAATGGTTGGAGGAGACGTGGTTTTTTTCAATCCGAGCGCTAAGATGGTAGACCTGATTTTTTTGCTGCACGGCGTAGACCGAACTTGGCACTTGTATTTGTATCTTCTGCATTCACTTGCAACAAGATCTTTTTCATCTCCACAACACTCCGAACAACGCCTACATGAAAACGACAAAGGTTCAGGATAAAGTCCTTCCTCACACTCGCTACACTGACTGTTTGACTCAAGGGTACAGTTCTTTAATATTGCTCTCCCTGCCGAGCATACCGTGCAGGGCTTGCAATGAGCTGTGTCGTTTTTGTCAGAGTACGTTTTGCCCAGTTGACATGGAACGCAGCTAATACTTGTCCAGTTTTCAATTTTGGTTCCACATGGTACCGACGGCTCTGATCCAGGAGGACAAGAAGGGCAGTCCAAGCATTTAAATCCTGCCTTTCCGACGGCGTTGGTCCAAATTACCTGTTCCGGATTGCAGGAGGAATTTGCTTCAGTGGTAAATACCTGTCGTCGAAAGAATAACACATTGTGAAAAAAGGTGGTCATTGCATTCGATTACCCAAATTTCATTATTATTACTTGATAATTAGTGTTGCAAAACATCGACTACAAAAACTAATCCAGCTGAAGATAAATACAGACATTTATTCTATCCATTTTTAAATCACTGGTAATCTGAATGACCTAGATCAGAGCAGTGCGATTTACTCTACGAATCGCACCATGC